TATGTCACGATCTGGAGATTGTGACATAAGAACAAATTCTCCTCCCTTACCGTTTACAGAGATACATATTGCATCGTTCGGTCTTAATTCGCGTATCTCGAAACCCTCGAATGTCAAGTTGCTTTTTTGGTGGCGCCTGTGTTGATTCGAAACGTCGGGCACACCTAATGATAGTATCCGCCTCTTGACATCAACATCCGGTACAGGGTTTGGTTCTTTGTACAACATACGCGGTGCAATAGGGAGAGATCTCCAATCTGATGCGATAAATTGCGAGTTGTTTTGCGGTGGATTTTGCACGGGACTAGATCTCGCAGCCTATATAGGCTTTCCACAGCCTTACGATACGTAGTAGCATTGATGTTTCGTGCAGGTGGAGAATGATGCTCCGATACTGAGCAAGCTGAGCGAATTGGACGAAAGTTGTGCGTTGCCCAGTGACTCTGTTCGTTTCACGGTCACTGCGGTTGCTATCGTCAGTAGGGTGGTGGTACATGGATGGACTGCTTTCAACGTCTTGAGCATTTGTGTGATGCGAGCCCAAAAGTCTGTCATATTTTGCACAAAGGGTAGATTTGGCCTTAGATCGGATAGTAATGCAAGGCAGAGTGCTCTGTTGCCACGCGAGGTGTGTGTAAATGTACTATTTCTGTACTGACGATGTGGATCAAGAACAGCTTTATTGTCGAACGCCTTGAACCGGATCGATCCTTGCGCATGAACGAAGTTCCCAGTTTTGGCGAACGAAGCTGGACTGCTTGATTGCGAAGGCTTCTGAATGAATGAACCATACCAGCTTGCCATCCCTTCTTATACCATATTCTATCTTATCACTTCAAAGATACTTATCATTCGTTGCATTAGTGAAGAAGTTCATTTTGCCTGTAACAAACAAGTTAGCACTTGCAATGAAAGCCTAAAGAAATGAACTAGTTGTAGCTATTGCTACATTCCCCACCCTTTCATTGGATACCGGTATAATCTTTCTTCAATTTCTTCCAGTTCTTTTCTATCTTCAGCTGCTTTACGTAATCTGTCATTAATCCGGTATTGCACACAGCGCCCTGTGGTACCATTATCCCTGGGGATGAGAAACTCCAGATTTGTTGGGCCTGATTTGGACATTTTCCTTCACTCACTATTAGCTTGTACCTCATGTTTCCATCAGTGAAGTGCTTACATGAGTGTGAGTACTGCCTGCCGATTTCTTGGCAAAATGTGATGAAACGACTAATTTCGGTCTGGTCGTTCTCTATCTCTTTTTTCGGTCGGAGTCGGAGTACCGGTTGAAGATTTCTGAGCTCCTTTTCAAGCCGCCTTTCCGATCATCTTCCATCTTGTACTGGAGGTTATCAATTTCTCTGTCGTCGGCATTTTCTTTGATTAGTTAATCCATATATTCGTCGTCCGTCATATCCATTTCTTCAAGGAACGCTACCTTCTTCAGGTAGGTACTGGCGAACCATTGAGGAGCAGCGTTCTAGTTGGATTTCGTGTTCTCTGCAATGTTCTTCAAGTGTTCCTTCATACGTTTGAGAGTTGTGTTGACGTCGTCATTATTATTGAACTTATGAAGGGCGCGACCCTCAGCGGCGACTGCTCTCCGAGCTATCGGCTCTGCGAGTGCATTTTCGGATTCCTGTTTCCGCTTAACCGATTTGCGACCGTCTCGTTCCTCGTTGAAGGAGTATATATCCTTTTTATATTGGTGTCCATCGTTTGATCTTGTTCCCATGTTCCCATCTCACTCGCGATTGGTTTCATGATATTTGTCTTGTTCCGGGCTAATGAGATGATTGTAAATGGTAAATCAAGAAACATCAGTCTCTTGTGAGCCGTTTAAGTTTCTATTGAAATCGATGTATTGGCAATTCAGTGTGCCCTGGAGCATGATTTCGCCACTTAGTATCGTTGTGTGGTGGTTTCTAGAGGTGATCCTGTCACGCGGCAGTAATGTTCATGTTTCCGGCATTGTTTCGCTTCAGAGTGGATAATTCATGTCATCTTTTGTTGTGAGGACTTCGTAAGGATGTACGGTACATTTGAGAGTGGTATTCATGTCATCTTTTAGGTGAGGACTCGTAATGGTTCTAAGGCGTAATCTTCGAAAGAAACTGTAAATCTTTCGACAAAGCGCTGTTCTTTCCGGCTATGGATGGTCCTGTAATGAATTGTATGAAGCCGTCATTTAATTGATTTTTTTCGAAAGCAAAAGTAAACAACGACAACAAAAAAAGGCAACAAATTAGAATTTTTGTTAGGTGATCTCGGATCTCTTTCATTGATTTTTTTCTTGTAAAAGGGATTGTTGAGCACTATTTGTTACTTCTCTCGTTATAGTTTACCCTTTGTTGTGGTCTTAACGCATATCGTGGGTTACATGGACTCGTTGTTCAGACCTTTCGTTTCCTTTGTTTGACAGGCCCTTCTCTTTGATATTGCAGTATCGCTCTCGCTCGCAGCCTTTATTGTCCTCGATCTCGTTAAATCATCTTCAAGTTCCAGAGGAACTAGTGGAGTAGTAAGTTCGACAATAACCTCCAGTAGACGTAAGTAAGCGGGCATAACATCATTCCGATTACAACTCTTGGGATCCCTCCTCACACCACTAGCGACCAAGATAACAGACGCCATAGAGTCGATACTCTGAACGACAGATGCACTGTAGAAGTGATGAGAAGAAACTCATCCCAGCTCACTCTTCAGAATCAGATACACGGCAACACCACCATCTTTCACTACAGCGGCACTTCGATCGATAGCAGCCTTATTTGGAAAAATCCCCAGATTGCTACCACCAGCAAAAGACAAATCGACGGCCGCTCAGCCCCAGATTTTGTAGAGAACAATCTGCTTCCTTGGAAAGAGTCTGCGCGAATAAACCGCACATTGGTCAACAACATCGAGGAGCGAGAGCATAGACATTATCGGACGCGATACTGATTCAAAGATGCACCTATGCCGGGATGTTATTTACAAATCACAACCTGCCTGTGCAGCACGGTCGCGCTGCTGTGCGTCCGCGTAGGGCGTCAGCGGTCCGTGGCATTATGCTCTAGGGTAGACGGGGATTCTAGCAGTGTTCTCCTTTATGTAAAAAGGCACTCGTTTTTTACCTATAAGTTGGGTGTCTACATTTAGCTAGGCCAATTAGGCAGACTCAACTCATACCTATCAATGTGAGATCAGCTAGTAATGTTAGCCCATTACTAGCTGATCTCACATTGTCCCACTTTGAACACATCTATTCCATTAATCATTACAACTCAAATAAATTTGAAATCAAACCATATAGATACATGGATGACATTCTACAATAATAATGATTGTGCAACGAATATTGTAAACAAACTCAAGAAGTCTACCATAACATCCTAAAGCTTGAAGTTACAAACAACAATGAATACAATTGTAATTATCTAGACTTAGAAATTACTATTCATAATGATAAAATTAGTACAAAAATGTACAATAAAACAGACAGCTTCAACTTCTCCATTAAAAAATTTCCAAACTACAATACAAATATTTCGTATCACATAAAATTTAATACTATATATGCAGAAATTCTAAGAACAACGTACATGCACCAACAAAAAAGATTTTATAGATAGATTAGAATACACACTTAAGCAACTTATTGAATCAGGATACAACACAAATATATTCATAAGTAGTCTTATGAAATGTCTAATCAAAAACCCTTCTATAACATACAAATTTAATCTATAAACCAAAAATATACACAAAGAATTGAGCTACCTTTGATAAAAAAACCACGATTTACGGAGATGAACATAAACTAAAAATTATCTGAGTGAGAACTATAACCTAGTTTACAGAAACGAAGAAAATGCGATTTCAAACAACTTCCACAAAAATAAAGACAAAAATAGAATAAAGGTAAAAAAAAAATCAAGAAGTTCTATTTAAGTAAAATAAATAAGAAAGATAAGCAGTACTTGAATGAGAATGAAGAAAGTACAACTCGCAAGATTAATAAAAAATAGAAACACTGAAACTAGCAGAATAAAACCCCTTGACAAGGTGATTATAAGGACATGGTCAAAATAATCATTAACTATAACTACCATATCACTAGTACTTACGAATAATATGATGAATAAGAACTTACCATGAACTATGCGGCGAAGGTGCACCAGCAACGTCAAGAAATGAAGTGAAAATGAACAGAGAACAAGCATGACAACATGTAATATCAAGTGTTATCAAGTTAAAGTAATTAGATAACCAATTAACAAAGCTATACGATGATCCAATTCTTGATTACTTGACTTAAATTTGGAAAAAATAGGTGAACATTTATCACATAACATTTCGATTTAGTTATTAATGTAACTATCACTAATAATCTTTTTTCCTTCTCCTTTTGAAAAACGAACACTAGACTCTCTGATATAACACACTCGAAATTTAAGAACTGATTGTTATCTATTATTATAAGTTACTTATCGTTATCTATTATTATTGTTATCTATTATTATTATCACATATTATAAACTAATAGAACTACGTAACAAGAGAAACAAGTAAAAATGGAAATAAAAATGGAGCAAAATGCAATCACAATTAATAATTTTGAAATAGGAAAACATGTTAGAAGAAAGTTATGATCATGATTTTATTATAAATATGGTTCAAAAATTATCCTATACGACTCATTATTCCTTCTTTCCCTTACTGACGAGCACAAAAAAGGATATATAACTCGTTTGGTTTCCGTCTAAGGGCACGTGCGACACGGACAACCAAAACTAAGCCTTTTATCCTTTACATTTTGACCCCCATAATAGTATAGTTAACAGCTAAATGTGCGGCCATCAATTTTGGTCCAAGTACATCACAACGCGTACGCATACTTACTTTAATCTATACTATATATGTTCCCCCCTTGGGAGTGGTGCGAGGTGAGTCTTCTAATTCTATCATATTGAAGAGTGTATGGGCCTTCGATGGCTGTAGCGGTGTACCACGCATGAACATTGAACGTGTGTATATGGAAAAAGATACGACATAAAGGGGAGGGGGAGGAGAGCAGGAGGCCGGCGGTGCCCGGCCTAGGCTTGAGACGAACAACTCCTAGCGTGGATTGAGAGAAAGGCAAGAAAAAACAATGTTGTAAAAGTTAAGGGTAGGCAGAAAACCCTCAGCCACCACACGATCAGCCTGGCGCGCTCCGGAGACGCGCCGCAAAGCGCGATGGGGGGAGGGCGAGGAGGCTTAGATAGTTGTTCCTCTGCCGAGACTTCCAGAACATGAACAAACAACCGAGAGAAAGCTATATGGTAGAATACGGTCACAATCGAAGTTAATAGTTATCGCTATTAGTTATAATTTTGTAGAGGAAAAACCTGCTTCTTCGAAAGACTGCGTAAATGAACCGCAAGTTGGTATATGTGGGTGAACGAACAGGATGCCGTTCGTAAAAGGCATTATTGATAACAATGTCAATAGCATTGTCAGGAACACCTTTTACTGTGGCTCGCAATCGAACAAATTACCCATGAAGATCAAGCTAGTCAAAATTTTAAGAATATCGCCATCAAGCATGAACAAATTTCTAGCGAAAGAAGAGAATACATTAGCTCACTGAATAAGACTGAGCACCTTATCATGGTAACGCAAACATTTTTCAATAGTGTACTTTTCCGGACCGTCGCGCCACGTAAGCACAGCCTGAAAAGTTCAGCAACAGTGCAACTTATACCTCGCAATCTCAGCAACATTCTCAACCAGACCACCATCAAGTTTAGTGAACAAGCGGTCACCATGATAAAGTGATGTTTGATTGGAGTTTCTCATCTAAGTTCCTTGATACCATTTACATCATGTTAGCGGACCAAGGACAAATATCGAAGCAATGGAATTGGAACAGGGAAACAGATCAGAACATGACACCAATATAAAGCATGTTATCATCCCCACCGAGGAACATTCTCAGGATTGGAAGGAAACGCGGAAGATCTCATATGATATCAACAGAGTTGAATAGTTCGTCAGGCGCTGTTTGTCGACGGGGGGGGGGCATTTTGTACTATCATTGCTTCCCTAGTTCCGGTTTACAAATCTCGCTCTGGTAAAACTTGTGAACGCTTGTGAAGCTGGAGCAAGATCGTCTAGCCACCATCCTAAAACGTGTCAACTCGAGAAAAGGCTACCTAGATGGGTTGGCACATCTATGGAAAGCAGGATGCCCCCTCGTCGACAAACTGCGCCGTTCGTCAGTAAGGAGAAGATCGTGTTGAAGGGTCTGACTTTCAATAATTTCAATAATAATGACGACGTCAACACAACTCTCAAACGTATGGAGGAACACTTGAAGAACATTGCAGAGAACACGAAATCCAACTAAAGCTGCTCCTCAATAGTCGCCACTACCTACCTGAAGAAGGTAGCGTTCCTTGAGAAATGGATATGACGGACGACGAATATATGGATTATCTAATTGAAGAAAATGCCGACGACAGAGAAATTGATAGGAATTGATAACCTCCAGTACAAGATGTAAGATGTAAATTGAATGAACCACACCAGCTTGCCATCCCTCATTATACCATATTCTATCTTATCACCTCAATACGTACTATATCATCACTATTGCATTAGTGAAGAGTTCATCTGCGTATAACACACAATTAGCAGCTTGCATTGACGCTTAAGAATGGAAGTAGATTTTCTTCATTGTAATAATTCAAGATATTCAAGATGATAGAGACGACACAGAATGAGTTTAATTTTTTTATTTTTGCAGTGCATCAATTATTAATATTAATTAATTTCCTCGGAGAAATATTGAAATCAATGGCCCTGCTGAAAGTCTGCCCACCCTTGACCCAAGCCGAAACGACGCTGTTCTGCTTACCCACCTAAACCTTTTTGGCAGTCACAGCAACACCACCTGGCGGGGCCACAACTATCAGCAATCACACACATATGATACGGCGACTCCTCGGTCGATCGACAAAGTCAGCCAAAATCTTCTGGTCTGTCCTTTACGCTCTTCACATGAAACCTGAGTAGAACATTCCTCAATACAATCTATTTTCACATCAGCGCCGCTGTCTCGACAGTTAAAGACAGCTCCCGCGAGAAGAGTGTCAATGATAGTTGCTGTTCAGTTGTGGACAGTAGCTGTTGAGTAATTCTCTCCAGCGAAGAAAAAAAACAAGAACAGCCTCGAGGGAACAAGCATAACAGAGATCACTACCCTGACAAAGTCACACCGCCTTGCGGTCCCTGTGCAACCCGTGGCTCACAAATCACTTTATCACATATCCCAGTAGTGGATATCATCCCATGCAAAAAAGAACACGAAAAACAACAAAAACACGAACGAAAAACACAAAGAAGAAAAAATACAGAATTTGGCGTCCAAAGTTGGGTTACGTGCAGTGTGCAGCTTTTAGTACATGTCGAGCTTTTGCACTACGAAAATCGCATCACTCGTCATTTTTACGCGTCTTACCTTGCGAGATGGGTTGTTTCGACCTATGTGCTCCCAATGAATAAAATTTAATAAAGAAGAGCAGAATTATTTCTGGCGCGAAGCGCGGGTCAGCAAAGTAGCATTTTACGATTACGATTAATGAAGCGGCGTCAAGCAAGAACAGTGGCGGGCTCTCCGTCAGAGGGCAATAGCAAGTGGGCGAGTCAACGCGGGAGTTAGGACTAGAACTTTGAGCGGCTGTAGCTCGCTCCTCGCTCACTGTGGAGTCACGAGAGTGGGGCAGTCTCTAGGTTGGGGACTGTTCTACTTGCACAGAAGCGACGACATATGTGGCTACTCCGAGCGCGGGAGGGGTGTCTCAGCAAGCGGCGTACCAGCTCAGCTCCCGATTCCAGTTGCATCTTGCACTACATCTTCAAAATCCGCTATCTTTAAAAAATTGCGTATGAGTCCGTTACGCTTATCGAATGTATCCTTGAATCTACGGCAGCGCCGCGTTGTTTCCACGCCCTCTTTGGATATCGTAGCTCACCCTATGAGGATGGTGGACGTACTAGTTTCGCAACTCAAAATGCGAGAGAATAGCGGCGCCCGCTCGTGAAGAGTCGGCCACCCCGCCCACCTGGCGACCACTACGCCCAACTTCATTTCTAATGGTTGCCTGATGGTGCGGTTGTTCCGCTTCTAACTCTCTCCACTTCGAATGGTGAGAGTGAGGTGATAAGGGAAAACAGCTGATACCAACAAGTGAGAACTCGTGCGGCCGCGCCTTCTCTTCGCCTTAAGCACGTACAACCTCAGCTCGGCGTGGGGTCCTATATAGACAATGAAATTTTAGTAAAATTTTGAGTAAAGGGCTTATCCGATGATTTTTTTGCATTTTACTTCACTAGTGAACTACTTGCTACCTTATTGTCACTGTCTGAGCCCCATAACTCATTCAATTGAACGCGGGCGCTGCCTTTGAGTCCATCGCATTCTGGTAAATTTGAAGATGGAGATAGATTTCAAGAGTAGCGTCAAACCCAGTCCTGACACGCCCAGCGAACGAGACACTGCATGCGCGGTGGGACCATGATGAGATGATGATTGAACTATCGGGAGAGTTGTTCTCAAGTTTTTCTCAACCTTTGGTGACCCCATGGTCCGCTCATCTTGCCCTGTCGCACTTTCATGAGCTAGCACTGCCTGCGTGTACATCGTCAATAAATCTGCGAACTTGCCTCAATAGAGATTGATGTCGTCAACATCGTTCCTTCCTAAA